TTCTGAATATGACCGAACTTTTGCTTTAATCTGTGCTTTATATCACCCTGGGGACCATCGGGGAGAGAAATATGATGGTAAGAAAATACATTAATATGACTTGGACTTAAACAACTTTTATTGTTATATTGTATACACAGAGTGTATAGAAAACAATTAGTTTATTACAGCTTTTCAAACAGTAAATGAACATTTCCATTCCATAAAGTGCAGCAATGATTAAATGTAAAGTGGGAGAAAAAACATGAGGCTAAAAGCGCATTGATGTGGAAGTTCAGAGCATTAACTCTATTTTTAGCCAAATATGTAGTATTTTTGCTTTGGTGTTATCAGTGCGATGAAGAGTCTGTGACGCGATTTAGAGGTTGGTCAACATTCGGTTGTCTGATGATGGGGGGGGGGGGGGGTAGAAGCTGTTGCAGAGTCTGCTGCTTCCCTCATTGGATGCTGCGTAGCCTCTTCCCAGAGGGCAGCAGGGAGAACAGTCCGGTTGGGGTCATTGATGATTGAACATCTGACGATGACTTTGATTTAAGATTTAATCCACCTTATAGGGTTGTTTTTTATGTCAGAGAGGTGTTGTGTGGTTCTGGTGATTTTTAATACTTAAGACAACCTATGATTCAAGTTTGATGTTGAGTGAAATTGAATATCTGAGAGGAATCTGCGTCGCTTCAGTTTCCCACCCTCACCGTCTGCGTCGCTCTTTTCCTCATCTCCAAACAGGACCTGTACGCATTGGTCAGTTATTCTAGGGGATGATCACGGCCTTCGAGTTGAAATGGAAGTACCCAAGCTGTTTAAATTAGATCCCTGAACTAGTTAAAAAAAAATTAAAAATCAGATTTTTCCCCAAAATGAACTTTTCAGACTTTTATTTTTCCCTCCTTTGGTTAACGGAGCCTCCACTCAGTAACAAGAGGTTCAGAGGCCTCCCTGTGCAAACCTTCACCTTCTGCCCAGAGTTCACCTTTCCCAACTGTGAGCGTTTGCAGCTCCGTTACAGCGGCGCTTTACTGCGATTGAAAGCAGGATCAATGACCAAGTCCTTGGTTTTTATCTCGTTTTATTCGGCTGCAGGGCTGAAGCTGCAGGACAACATAAATGAGGATAAAACAGATTTTCTAAAATTGTTTCAGTTCTGTTCCTGGAATGTTTAGGGAGGCGCCCTTCAAAGCAGCAGCTCCCTGCCTCTCGCTGTGTGGGTCAGAAAAGGAGGCAGTAATTAAAGCAGCCTTAGCATTTTAGCTGCATTCTTGTTTGCTGCAGCACTCCTACCAAACCATGATTCATCATCAAGATGCTGCCGCAGCCTCAGTGTTTAGTGCCCATCGTGTTCCTCCCCTCTCTGGGCCATCCTCCACCCGATACTGCTGAACTGACAAACTTTATTGTCATTTGGTATACACCGAGTGTTTACCAAACGACAGTTCGTTACAGACAGCTTTCTGGCCGTAAAGGAGCAACAGCTTCGCAGTAAAATCAACATTTCCTTTTATAAAGTGCAGCATTGATGAAAATGTAGTGACATGATGCAAAAGGGCATTGATGTGTAAAGTTCAGAGCAGTTCAGAAAATAGATACGGTGCAAAATGCAGTAGAAACACTAAGTTGAATTCTATTTAAAGGTAAAGTCTGATTAGCAAGGAATGATGTAATGAAATTAGCGTTAATCGGTAACAAAACAACAACACAGATTTCCATTGCAATCACTGAGTCTGGGAGCGGCCATTTTTGCCCAAATATAATAGCCCCTCCCTCCTGCCATCTTCCAGCAGTGACGTCACGGTGCGGTAAGCCTAGCGCCATTCTCCCCGCTTTACAAGCTAAATCAATGGGAACTACTAGACACATCTGCAATCAACAACAATTATTGAAGATTTCCAGAGGACTTCACCATTGAAATTCACCAGAGCTATAGTGAAACTGACAATGCCCACGTGCATGGCAGCTGGATGCTGGAATATATCGGGTAAAAGAGAAAAAAGAGTTATTCCACCTTTCTGATTCCTGATCCTCCATGGACTGGTTGGTCGTTGGATCGCCAACTTGAAGAGGGAGGATTTGCCGTCGAACTTCTGGCCAGAGAAAAAACCCGTAATATGTAGCCAACATTTGGAAGAAGAATGTTTTCAAGATGACTTGGATAATAGCGCGTTGTGACAAACACCAGATACAGCACTGGGACTTGATCAACAGCCGATACCGCACCGTGACGTCACTAACCAGTAGGTGGCAGTAGTGTTCTTTGACAAACATGGATGCCTACATGAAAATTACTCTGAATTAAAAACACTGATCATTTATTGAACAGGATGGAATCATTTCATATTTAAAGAACTTTCAGAAGTTTGAATTCTGAATATGACCGGACTTTACCTTTAAAGAGATTTGAAGATTTGCGATTGCAGAACCTACCGGTCATGCATTGAATGCTGTGAAGCCTCCTCCCTGAGGGCAGCAGGGAGAACATACAAATAGCAATGAGTTCCAGGCTTTATACAGCAGCCCAACAAAGCCTTGAATTTGTTTAGAAAACATGAACATTAAAACGGATGAACGGGTCCACCCCTTTGGAATGGAGGTTGATTGGTTTCTTTGTTAGCCTGCAATGCCCCATACCTGTCTATGTCTGTTGTAGGGTTGTCAAAAGTATCGATATTTAAAAAAGTATCGATACTGAAAAGTTGTATCCGGATACAATACTCATTTTCAAAAGTATCAAGACAGCGCTACCACCAGTGGCACCTAAACAGTCATTCTTCTTATGCACAGATTAGAGGAAAATGTACTTTCAGAACACTGTGTGATTGAATAATTCTGTGCACATTTCGGTTTCAGACTTTTTTCTGTAACAGGTGCAGCTGCTGAGAATTATTTTTGTTTTTTAACTGGTTTGGCTAACGTCATTGTTATGTGTGTAAAGCATAGCCAAGGAAGGAACACTTAATTTTAATTTTGTAAGTTTTTTATCAAGCTTGCTTAATATTGTGCACAGCATACAACTTCAAAATATTGTTTATTGTATTTGTTTATCTACTTATTTAATTTTGTTTTTTAATGAAAAACTTCTGTTGAATTTTAGAGTCTTTATTTTTATCCTTGTGGTATCGAAAATGACATCGAGTATCGAATATTTTACTTAGTATCGGTATCGAGTTGAAAAGTTTAGTATCGCGACAACCCTAGTCTGTTGTATAAAACCTTGAAAACAACGCTATTTCTGACATTTTGGATTGAAAAAGCTTCCTGAAGAGGAAGAGAAACGTCTTCAAACTTGGAAACAAAGTCCAGTGGATAGTTTTTTTTTGTTTTTTGAATGACTATGACCTGGATGACCGAGAATCTCCACCAGCACTCTGAGATGATGGTAGTTTTATGAGGCACAAGCAGCCTGCAGCTTAGAAAGTGTGCAGATATATATTAGGAGTGGAACGGTTCACAAAATCCACGGTTCGGTTCACGGTTTCATGGTCACGGTTTTCGGTTCGGTATATGTTGATTGTTAGCCTGACATGTTGGTCATGTTGCTGTTAGCATAAACAAGACGTGTTGCACAATGCTTTCACACTGTTGCACTTTTATCCACAACTTTCTTTCCGCCGTCATCGTAGGTCACTCTAAATGCAAAGTGGTCCCATACAGCAGACCAATAAAGTGCTGCTGGCGCGTCTTCCAACTCCTGTTCTTTCCCACTCGCCATACCCACACAATTCTCCACAACAACTGATTTTTTTCTGCTACCTGCTAGCATGAACCCGGCTATGCTGCTTTCTTCTTCTTCTTCTTCTTCTTGTTTACTACTGGTGGTTGGCTTTGGTCGCAGTACCGCCACCTTCTGCTCTGGAGTGTAAACGCTTCGCCTATGAGAAAAAGGAGCAGCGCATGAACCGAACGCAACACACGCGAACCAAACCGAGACAGTCGAACCGAACGGTTCGGACGGTTTTCATAAACCGTTCCATCCCTAACATATATATATAGTTGTAAATCATAGCAATACCCATAATAGTCACAAACTACGATTAAATGTGGCCTAAGGAAGGTCAATTTGTTAAACAGCCCGCCATGAACTGTTTATACCAGGTGTCTTCAACGTTTTCCAGGCAAAGGACCCCAAACTGATGGTGAGATGGAGCGGGGACCCCCTTATTATATATATTGTATGAAATAGTGTTCTATCAAACTGGTCCTATAGTCACTCTATTACAGATGGAGTAATGTAACTAAAGTAGTTTCTCTCTGGGATTATTAAAGTATTTCTGATTCCTGGTTGATGGGACAGGTGTTGTGAATGAAACGGTGCCCAGCTTGAAAGAGCTCCTGTGTGTCGCTGAATATGTGCATTGATGACTGAAAGACATGCACAACCCATTTCTCCTGTGCAACAGGCCGCTGTGACAGCAAATCACATATTGCTTTGCAAGGAGAGAAAAGCATTCTGGGATATATCTGCCTCTTCTGAGGGTTTTTCTTCTTATACACCTCATAGACACTTTGTCTCTTACTACCGTCGGCCATTTTCAAAGAACCGCGGTGAGAAAAGTGAGGTTCAACGACCGTCTGAAACCGTAGCTCACCACAGATATACGTCTAAAAGTGCGCAGAAAGAGATCGCTAGCGGGGGTTAGCACGTAGGACGACCTTACATAAACAAATCACCAGAATGATTGACAATTACTAGGACAGCTTATTTAGTTCATTCAGTCGGAAATAAAAGATCGTCTATTTTTTTTATTGTTGGTTTGTAATTTAAAATTGAAGAAACTAATGATTTAGGAACCGATTCATAAAAGAAGTTTATTTGACGTGTTTGCCATTGCCTCTACATGATGGTGTCAGGCTTCAGATTCTAAGTTTTCTTTCATAACGACCAGCCTTGTCTTCTGAGAAACTCTCTAAAGTCTGGTTCTATAGATCTAGATTGTTTCTTTCTCTACTGCCACTCTGCTTTCTTTCTATTGGCTGGTAACTCAGTGGATGGATGACTTCTCTTCCAGCGCAACAAAGACTCCCTGAGGGACCTCGCCGAGGGCCAGAAGGTGATCTGTAAACATAAAAATGGCCGTTACTACCACAGCGAAGTAGTGGAGCTGACCACGGCTACGTTCTACGAGGTGGTGTTCGACGACGGCTCATACAGCGACAACCTCTTCCCAGAAGACATAGAGGTTGGTACTGGAGCTACTTGATGAGTCAGAAATGATCAGAGCTCACTTACTTCTTTGGATGCTTGTTTCTTGTTTTGATTTTAACATCCAGCAGATTTAAAGGCACACTATGCAACATTTATCAGTTAATTAATGTGTTCCATAACGTTTTGGATGATTAAATGAGTCATTTCAGGTCGAACAAAGGTTTTCTCGGCCGCCCTGGTGGTCTGTGGGGAAAATACCGTACTTGCAATTGCAGGAGCCCTCGGCCCGCACCCACAGGCTCAGAAGTCTTGTGCATCGCGAGAGTCGGTCGTGCTTTATGGCGAGAACTGCTACATGCCCCCAGTGAAAGGCATGCTCGTTGTTAGCGCAGTGGCGATATTTGTGCAGTTATCATGGCGGAACCAGCGAGAATTTTCAAACTCGAAAATCGGAACAAAATAGTCACTTACCGCAGTAGACATGGTGATTCGTTGCGTTCGCCTGTCTGCTAAGCTCAAAACAACCGCGCCTGGCTTGACGGAGAAACCAGGAGAACAGCTGAGCATATTTACGACAGTGCACTTTTACTTTCGCCCTCTGGGGGGAGCCTCGCTGGAAAATCAACACCGGTTGCATAGTGTACCTTTAAGACTCACAATACTTAGAAATCCACAATTTACACAGCGCAAAAAAAAAAATGTGTAGCCAGACTGGATTGGAAGACTTATATTTACTCGTTTACTCCAATTACTAACTGACTCACTCACATATTTCACTCACTCATTCACTATTGTAACTCAACCACTAAGTCACTCACTTACCTAACTCTCTCACTAAAACACCGACTAACTTAACTCACCAAGTCACTAACTAATTTACTCACTAACAACTCAATTACTCTGTCAATTTTGTGTCTCTTATTTTTATATCTCTTTCACTCACTCCATCATTCACTAATATAACTCACCCACCAAGTCACTCACTGAGGCACTCACATATTTCTCTCCCATACAAAGATAGCCCAGTCTATTATTCTCTTTCTATCTTTCTATCTCTACTAACTAACTAACTAATTAATTAAGTTGTTCACTTCAAAAGGTTAAAAAGTATCTCCCCTGGGTAGAGATGTCCCTATCCAGGTTTTTGCACTTCCGATCCGATACCCATACTGGCCGATATCAGCCTATCCGAGCATGTATTTAAGTTTAAGTTAAAGTATGTAGCCTTAGTTGTAAGACTCATGTTGAAAAGGGTTTTAGTACTCTTGATAACATCTAGCCAGCTGAATTAGGTGAGATTGAATAAAACACAATGATTGGTAACAACAAACTTACCTGTTTATTAAGAGATAAACACAAACTGGACAAAATTATGAATAGCAATCTGAAATTGCACAGTGAACAGTAAAACCGTAAACGGTTAAAGGTGCTATATTACTATAAGTTTTAATAAAAATGCAAAACAGACAAGAGTGGAAAATATTCTGTTAACTTAGAATCAGGACTCTACTCTTGAAAAAAGACACTGCTTAAAAAAAAATCAGTGCAAATAATAGTGAACTATTACACAAAAATGCCTTATACTCCCCAATCTCCTCCACACCTAGTCTCCATCTACACATCGTGCAGGATAAAATAATCCCACACGGCTGACATTTTCCCCGCTATCTTCCAATTCACCTGTTTTAATGGTTAGGCCACGAGACAGACCCAAAAAGACCTGTGGGTGTTTTGAAGGTGTTCTGGAAAATACGAACCGGATTCGGGGAACACTGGCGCAAAATAGTGGAATGGATCGTTTCAATCAGCGAAACTGGAAAATACGGACCGGATTTTTTTTTTTCAAACTGGATCGGCATTTTTACATGCTTTGCCATTACGCATTTTTTTGCCAATATCGGCGTCCAATCCGATACGTGGATCGGATCGGGACAAGCCTACCCCTGGGTCAGGGGCGGATTTAGGAAATGTGGGGCCCTAGGCAAAGACAGGCAGGGGACCCTCTGAATTAAGAAGACAACACATAAACAGCCCCATTCTACAGATAGAGAAATGTTAATAGAATAGACATTCATTATCTGTTCTAGGTTTTGTTCCTCTCTTCTCCCTTTTCTTGACACACTTAATATTATCAGCGTGCTGATGGCATTTTAGCCAAAGGATTTTTATCAAAAACATCATTAATGTGCAGAAATAAGGAAAAGTTTTATTAACTATACATGTAAACAGAGTTTTAGGCAGCTGCCTAGTATTGCCTGATGGTAAATATCCCTCTGCCCTGGTTGAAAGTTAGCGTTTTGGTTGTGTGTGTTTGCAGAGCCAGGACTGCGTCCGCCTCGGCCCCCCGTCTGAAGGTCAGCACGTCCAGGTGCGCTGGACAGACGGCCTTTTATACGGAGCCAAGTTCGTAGCGTCGCACTCTGTCCCCATGTATATGGTAAACCCGCCACTGTTTGTCTAAATTCTCTCAGCATCTTGTTGACTTTTACTCACCCTACTGAGTGCGTGTTTCAGGTGGAGTTCGAGGACGGATCCCAAATCACAGCGAAGAGGGAAGACATCTACACCCCGGACGAGGATTTACCCAAACGAGTCAAGTCACGCATGGTGAGCTGGAGTTTTTCTTCGGTTTGTGTTCCTGCGTTCTGTTTTCGCTCATCGCCTCTCTCCTGTCTGCAGTCCGTAGCCTCGGACATGCGCTTCGAGCTGTTCACGCAGAGCAACGTCAAACAGAACTCCAAGCGTCAGCGAGTCATCAACTCGCGCTACAGAGAGGACTACATAGAGCCGGTCATCTACAGAGCCATCATGGAGTGACTCCTTCCATCACTATGGAAACGTTAAAGCCTTCATGTCCTGCGTTTCATTAGCAAACAGCCGCTCCTCCTCCTCCTCCTCTTCTTCCAAAGCCTCTCAGGCTTCATATTTATAAACTACGGCTGGGACTCAGTGACTCGTGCTTTAATCCATCACTCTGCTGTCCGCTCTTATTTTTCTGTTTTCTCAGGAGGAAGCCATTAATCCTAAATGTCAGCAACAGGTGGGTTAGCTCACCGCCGCGTGCAGCTTTCCCAATGACGTCGCAGCTGTTTATTATTCACCTTTAAGTATGTTTTGTTTGTTTAATTCATGCATTTTTTCTCTTTTTCAACGGTTTTTGAAATGATCACCCTGCAGGATTTTATAGATTAAGGATTTTTTTTCCCAGACTGATAGTTCCTCCATGCTTAGATTGATCAAACAAAGCGAACGGGATGCGGTTTAGGCGCGGCGTCGTTCTTCAGGAAGGTTTTTTCTAAGCCGACTCTCGTTTCTGTCCCGTGGGTTTTTATAAATACTGTAAATAATAGTGTTACTTTATTTATGCAAAATGCATCGAAATTTGAGAAGAGAGCTATTTTTGTCACATCCTTTTCACGAGCTAAAGAGACCTTCAGATGTATTTATATTTATTAAGCTGATAGGTTTTCAATTTTTTAGCCTTTTCTGTCTCAGTGCTGAAACCCGAAGCCGACGAAGACTCGACTCCAGCTCCTCTTCGAACAAAAGCACTTATTTAGTTTTTGTTTAGAAACTTTTAATACATTTCTGTCCCCCTTTAAAACTAATTTTTAATTTTTTTTGCCCCTCCGGTGTTTGTGTTTTGATTTCTCGTGGCTGTGGAGCATCAGATTTCAGCTGATATGTTAATTTTTCCTCGTGCAGAAAGGAGAATGAGAAGTAGGACAGTCTGGCCCCCCCAACGCTTGTTTTAGCTTCACCCTGCCGTCGTCTTTAGATCCGAGTCCGCCCAGAAGAACGCTTAAAAAAAAAAATGTAAGCTTAAACTATTTGAGTAAAGATTGGGATAGAAAAAACAAAAGTGTGTTGCGTCATTTATTTCTCCTTCTCAGCCTTCACTGAACAACAGCCAATCAGAGCAGTTTATTTTCCTTTAATCTCAGACCTGAAGGCATGCAGCTGTGAACTCCTCCAAAGACATTCTCACATTCTTTTCCATCCCTGCCAAATTAAGTTAGCTTTGCCTTGATTTACAGCCAACTACTTAGAGAGAATAAATGCCTCTTTGGTTCCATTCTGCGGTTTGTTGGAATGGATGGTGAATCTGATCAAGTGTTCAAACATCGGAACACCTGGAAAACAGAAAGAGATGCTTGTCCTGAACTCATAGCAGCGGCTCAAAATTAGTGTTTTTTATTTGACTGCAGGACACCTTGTTACGGAAGAGGATTAGGACCACTGAAAAAAAAAAGAAAGTTAACTGATTTTTAAATTTTATTTTAGTTTAACATGGGGAAAAAAGTCAGAATTCTGAGATTAAAGTCAGAAATCTGAGATTAAAGTCAGAAATCTGAGAAAAAAAGTCAGAAATCTGAGAAAAAAAGTCAGAATTCTGAGATTAAAGTCAGAATTCTGAGATTAAAGTCAGAAATCTGAGATTAAAGTCAGAAATCTGAGATTAAAGTCAGAAATCTGAGAAAAGAAGTCAGAATTTAATCTCAGAATTCTGAGATTAAAGTCAGAATTCTGAGAAAAAAGTCAGAATTCTGACTTTTTTCTCAGAATTCTGACTTTTTTCCCATACTATACTGAAATAAAATAAAAAAAAGTCTGTTAACTTTGTTTTTTTTTTCAGTGGCCCTAATCCTCTTCCGTACCTTGTAGCTTTAAGCAGCAGAGGGGAAAAAAAACTATCCTCACCCAAATTTGTTCTAGAACCATCAGTGGGTACAGTTAGTACAGATTGTGTCCTATCTGGTGATGTGGCAATAAGAATAATTGTCTTGATGACAAAAAAAGCCCAACAGATTTTACTTTCACAAGTGGAGCAATATGGCAATTGCCATATTGCTCCACTTGTTTCATGCATATAAATTGCTTTATTATAATTATGCAGGGAGTTTTACAGTTTATATGGACACTGCAATGTAAATATAGCAGAAAACAGAAGAAGAAGAGAAAAGATGAAGGAAAGAGGAGATAGAAAGGAGACAATGGGCCGGATCTATCAAAGGTTTGCGTGTATAAAAACGTGAGCTATTTCACTGCGCACGCTAAAAAATGTACAAACTGATCTATCAACAGCGTGCTAAAAGGATTTGGTCTTTAAAACGTGCTAAATAGCGCCTCTTATCCTTTTAGTACTTTTTCTGCAATGAATCTGCAATATGGGGCGTTTACATGCAAAAGTGCGCCTTGTGGGAGGAGAACATGTAAATATATTAATTTAGCACTCGCAAAGTGATTTATCAAACCTGAAAGCAATTTTGCTAACGGTATCTGACTCTATATTTAACACGTTTCAAAAGAAGGTGCAAATGGTCTGTATGCGTAATTGCGCACACATGGCAGCGGTTATTGTCGCAAGAAGGAGACATGGAAATGAAGCAAGGAGACGCAGAGAACGCATTTTTTCACTCCGTGTCAATATTTTTGGAATGAACGAGGAAACGATCATCAAAACATATCGTTTATCCAGCATTGCCAATTTGAAGCTGCAATTCCAGTGATTTGCTCCTCACAGAGCGTCAGCTGTACTTGTTCCTCAATGCTGGTCAGAGGCATCTCATCTACTGTGCCCCCTCCTGTTTTGTTCGCAGATGTTTTGTTATATGCCAGTTTTTCTCTGGTTCGCCTTCTAATATCCTGGTATCTTCTTTTTACTTCATCCACTGTTCGCAAGGTTTCACCAACAGCGTTTACTTTATTACAGATTTGTTCACATATAGCGTTCCTCTGTGTGACAGTCGCACTTCTTTGCTGTAGCTCACTTAAATGTTTGTTGGCTTCATCCACCAATACCTCCATTTCCATAGGGTCAAATTTCCTTTTGCGCTTTCTGCTGTCCAAACTCGCCACAAACCACAAAACGCGCAAAACCATCATTTAAATAGGGCGTCTCTAACAGTTTTGCGCCTGCCACCAGTTACGCAATCACTCTTGTTAAATCACCCGCAAACCATGGTTCAGCCCCTCGCGCAAAATTCCAGTTTGCGAGCGCAAATTACTGCACGCAAAATTGGATCTTGATAAATCCGGCCCAATGACAAAACATTTTCAGTCTGCTTCATCACCTGCAACGGGATGCAAAAAGAACAGCACAACCGAAAGACACGGTACGAGATATACAATAAAGCAACACCTTGAAACTATCGCTAAAGTAATATTATTAAGTCTGACATGTACTCTGTGTTACCTGAAGATATGAATGTGGGGTTTCTGTATGGAAGTGAATCTCTGAGTACCTGGAGCCAAGCACCTGTAGTTGTTTGTGAGGGTGAACTAGTGCATGTTAAGTTTATCTATAGAGAAAATGCTCAATAGCGGTTGCGGAGAGCCGAAGAGGCGCCCCCCCACACTGGAAAAACGATCTAGAAATAAGTAAAAATTTCTTAAATTAAGTGTATTTACCCTTAATTTGAGTAGGTAAATGATAGTTTGCCAATGGAATGAGTATTTTTACTCTTAAAATAAGATAATTAGATACTATTCACTTGAAATAAGACAATGCAATAGTGTTTTCTTATTTTAAATCTAAATTGTCTTGTTCCATTGGCAAAAGGTCTCTTTTATCTCCTCAATTCAAGAAAAAATGCACTTATTTTAAGAAAAAATGACTTGTCAAGATTTAGATTTTTTGCAGTGCAGAGCACCGAGTCCAGTGCCCAAAGGGACCCCAAGAGCGAGGGCACCAAGGAGGGGCCAACTCAGGAAATCAGACCCCCACCAAGGGGGGGGGAGAGACAGCCCAGAGAGTGTCCCCCCAGCCACCGCAATGCCGGGGAGCCGCGGGGACGAGTCCGCGGGCTCCTCCGGCAGCTGGCCACCCTGAAGTGAATCCGGCCCTGGGCCCCAGGGATCCGAGGCCCCAGGGGCGCCCGAGCCCCAGCAAGGCCCCGTTAAAAAGTGAAACATCACAAGTTTGAGACCATCTGAGCATTTAGTGAGATTTCTATTATTATGATGTAGTTTCTCTCTAGTCAAGAGATATCATGTTAACCCTTTAAAGCCAGATCCAAGAACAAAACAAAAAAGAAAATTATTTTTTTTTTTGGTTTGAATTCCTTATTTGGCCTTTTAACAAAATATGTAAAAAGAAAAAACCTAAATACATTTTTGATATTAATAATTTATTACTATGCGATAAGTCAAGATTATTTTTTGTGTAGTCTTCTACTGGCTGTTATCAGGTATATCTGATTGTGTACAATAGGATTTGGAGCATTACCATTAAATTATGCAAAAGGTGTCAGACGCAAAACATTTCAGAAACCGTATGTATCAAATATGATACATTTGGCATTATAGGGTTAAAAGCGCTTTACTATTCTATTTCTGATTTGGTCAAAAGCCCACACTGAGGTATGAGGTTCTAAAGTGATCAAGTTCAAAACTACGCAACAGTTTATCAGTTTAAAAACAAAACAAAAGGGAAGTTGAGGTTTTCTCCATTACAGAGGAAATGTTTCCTCATCGGGGCCTTCAAAACAAAATAAAGAAACACGGAACCTTTCCCATCTCAAAAAACATGTTGAAGGTTTCTTTTCTGTTTTTACATAGATGAGGCACATCATTTTGATTTAATTGGAAGTATTTTTCATATTTTTTAAAGATTTTTTTCCTCAATAGCATCTATGTTATGTGAACCACTGACTCAAAATCTGTATGAAATTCTTCTACTAGCCTCTAGTAGCAGGATTTCCCATTGGTTGTGGTTCAGTTGGCCACAATTCTATTCATTTTATTTCTATAGCACCAATTCACATCATGTCACCTCAAGGCCCTTTCCAGTTCTCCAGATCATCCAGTCAGATTGATTCAAAGTTTTCTATCTAAGGAAAACCAGCTGATTGCATCGACTCATTGTCTCTTCAGCAATCCCTCACACTAAGCATGCTTGTAGCGACAGTGGAGAGGAAAAACTCCCTTTTAACAGGAAGAAACCTCCAGCAGAACCAGGCTCGGTGTGAGCGGCCATCTGCTGAGGCCCACTGGGGTTCAAGGAGACAGAAGCAGACATAGAAAAAGAAGCATAGATACAAAAGGCATCACTTTGAAGTCTTAAGATTTTTTATTTTTGAATTTGAGTTTTCTACAGATGGTCACTACACTTACCTCTTTAGTTTGTTGCAAATACATCTAGACATGGTTCATGTTTATGGTTCATAAAACTAAAACCTGCTTGTATGGAAGTAAAACAGTCTCGTTTTTTTGTACACCAAATTTTTAACACTGAATGTTTTTTTTTACATTGAATTCCTCACACTGAATTTTTATCTGGTGAAAATTCAGCTGCAAAAAAATTCGACTACAAAAATGGTGAAGTCAAGCCAAAGCAATCTACACTCTTTGCAGTCGAGCATAGAAATAAGCCAATGAAATAAGCTCAGTTTGTCAGAAAAAACAGGAAGTTTGCTGCCGGCTGCTTCTTCCGGATCAAACCCAGAGCCTTGGCAGATCATTAGCTGTGATCAGCTCCGTTAGTTCACCCGGTCTGATTAGATGAAAAACTCTTACGACTGTCTATTAGTAGCTACCTGACGTTTTGTAATCATATCTATTCAACAAGAAAAACTCCTCATTCACCCAACTGTTGTGTCACGTGACCAAATGAGCTGATTTCATTGGCTAGAAGCGGCTCGACTGCATCGAGTGTTGATTGCTTTGGCTTAAATTCACCAAAAGGTCAAAACATTTGCAATTAAATTTTTTGCAGCTGAATATTTTGCAGGCAAATTTTTACCGGACATAAATTCACTGTAAGGAATTAAATGTGTAAAAAAATTCCTTGTTTGAAATTCAGTGTACAAAAAAAGATTCCAATGAGATGGTTTTTCTTCCATATGCTTTTACCTCTTTAAA